TAATTCCTTTTATTTAATTAATATATAAATATATTACCTTAAAGATTAATTCTTATGCCTTAAAATTATATTTTAAATAAAAGAATATATTATAAATAATTTTAATTAGGCCCCTTTTTTTATTAATATCCTTAATAAATACCTCTCTTTTATAAAGTCTAAGGCTAAGCTTTTAAAGTATAAAATTATTATAATATAATAATAAGATATTAATAATACTTAACTTAGGGCTTAAAGCCTTATAATAATCTAACCCTTATTTAATTTTTAGCTTTTTTTCTTCCCCTTAATAAAACTTAATATCTCTAATAATTAGATTATTTAACTATATAGACTTAATCTCGCTTATACCTATTATATCTATTTTAGCGTATTTAATATATTTAATATATATTTCTTAGTTTTTTTTTTTCCTTAAAGTATTAATTAATAAAGGGGTAAGTCCTTAGAAGATTATTAATACCTTCTTATATTAATATTAAACTAAGCTTTATAATTATATTATTCTTCTTATTATCTATGAGATTATTATTAAGCCTTTATTCTAAGAGTTCTTTAGCTTATTCTCTAATACTCTTACTTATTTATATAATTTTTAAAAGAGATTAAGTACCTATTATTAATAAATTAATAATAAGATATATATTTATTACCTTTACTATATAATTCCTAGCTATATCTTTATAGCTTTTAATAATATATTTATTTAAAAAGCTAATATATTAAGGATTAACTATAAAGATAAATCTTAATAAGATTATTTTTATAACCCTAAGCTCTTCTTTTAATTATATAACCTTAAGAATAACTTTTAGGGTATAATAATTATAAGATTCCTAAGGGGTAAACTAGTTATATTAGGTTTATATTAATAAAGGAGAATATTTTATAGCCTTAAAGGGTAATATAAGTTATATCTAGTAATATACTTAAAGGTATTAAATATAACTAGGTTATATTAATAATTAAAGTAATATTTCCTAGCTTTTTCTTCTAGCTTATTATTAATATATTTAAGTTTTTTTTTATTTTTTTTTCCTTAAAATATCTATAATATAAAGACTCTTAATATTAAAGGTTAACCTAAGACTTAATTAATAATATAATAATATAAGCGCCTAAGTTATAATATTAAATTATAAAAATAAATAATAATTCTAAAAGTAACTTAGGCTTATTAAGCTCCTTATCTTTAAACTTATTTAAGTTTGCGATCTTATATATATACTTTAAGTCGCCTTTATTTAATTCTATAATTATCTTATTAAGTATATAGAGCTTTAAAGAACTAAGGTTAATTATTTTAATATATAAAAAATAATACTTAAGAACCTAGCTAAGAGACTAGCTATAAGTAATATTCTTAAAGAAAAAAAAGTCTATTTCTTAGATTAGCTTAAATAATTAAAGGGCTAGCTAAAGGAATTATTAAAATTAATAAAAGAGCTATAAGCTTAAAAGGATCTATTAATAAGATAAGAATTTAGACTAGAATAGGTAATAGAGGCCTAATTATTTATAGTATTAGTAGTAAATATAAGGTTATTTAAAAAAAGCTTAATTTATATAATATTAATAGGGTTAATAATAAGTTAGAAAAGTTAAATATAAGTATAGGAAGAGACCTAATATTAATATATAATAAACTAAATATATAGGATTTATTACTATTTTAATTTAATAGAAATCCTTATTAAAGACCCTATTATTAGTTTATTTAATTAGCTATAGCTATAAGCGCCTCGTCGCAGTGATTAAATCTTACTATATAGAAACAGGGCAGATATAAGCACATATCAGAGAGGTGCCTAACTACTGATCAAGTTGTGGTGGGGATACATAGGTATCGGACTTCGGTTACGCTTACTAGGTGGGCGGTAGGTGGCCGGGGAAGCGTTCGTTCAGCTTGGCGGGGCTGGTATGGGAGGGGGTAAGGCGCAATCGTTCTTTAAAATAAGGAAGATATATATAACGTTGCGAAATAGTGCTAGGGTATTAAGGGAAAAACTATTAGGCTTAGATATAAGTATAACTAGATTTAAAATTATTAGCCTGTCGTTATTTTACCTTAATTTAATACTAAAAGTTATATTAATAGGTAGCTAAAGCTATTACTTACCCTATATACCTTATTAAATTAGATTATAAGGGTATATATTATCCCGCCTTATATAGATTACTTAGAGTTAGCTAAATAATCTGCGTTATTTATTCGCCTATAAGAAGAAAACTTATAGCTATATTATAGATAATAGTTATAACCTTACTATCTTGCCTTATATAATATAGGGACCTAATAATTAGTTATTTATTAGTAAGCTAAAATAAATAAAACCGGTATAATATAGTATTTTCTTTGCTAGTATTATTAATAATATATTAACTTATTTTTGCTTATTGCCTAAATCTATAATAATACTAGAATAATTATACTCTCTATTCTTTAAATTACGCCTCGCTTTAATTAAGCTTATATAGCTTACTAAGGGGCTGTAATAGCTTGTAGTTAGCTATGCTATATTTAAAAGAAGCCCGAGCGGTTATTAGTAATTAAATAACCCTTTTTAAGCTAATCAAGGCATATATCCTAATAAAGCATTAGATCTAAGAGGAGAGGCTCTTCTATTATAACCGTAGCCTAATAATTCTTAGTATTATAGATTAGTTTTATATGCGGGATATAATAATAAGGCTAGACGGCAAGTAGGGCACAGGTAAGCAGCGAGTCCGCGATTACTTTTTTAATAGCTATAATTAATATTAATTATAATTTAATAAAGTATCTTATATTAATTAGATAAAGTATTATTACTTTATAATATATATAATAATAATAATATTCTTATATTTTAAAGCTTTCTTATTTATTATATATAATTTTTTAGCTTTAATTTTAGTTTTTTTTTCTCTTAAGGATATAATAGCTAAGATTAGGGAGCTATATTATTTATATTAAGACTTTCTATTTATATTTAAATTAAACCTAATTATATATTAATATATTATCTCCTTATTTATTTTTTAATAATAAAGATATAAGATAATAAATAAAGCTTAAAGAGAAAATATAAAGAAAATAATTAATAGAAGTAATCTTTTACTTAGTAATTAGCTATATATAGACTCGCTTATTTTTCTTATATAATATTTTTATTCTAAGGTAGCTATCGCATTATACCTAATTTAATTAAATATAAGCTAAGACTTAAATATAAGCTATCCTCTTATCTAACTTATTTTTCTTTTTATTTTCTTTAAAATTCTATAATTAATTCTATAGAATAGCTAGCTAACCTAGGAAATATCCTATTATTATTAAATAATTTACTTTAAATACTAAGCCTAGAATAGTATTATATTTTTAGAAAAGTAAACCCCGAATATAGCTATTAGTTCCCTAACTCTAAGACCTATATTAATACATAAGATAAGTAATAGGATAGTGGTTATCGGCAGTTCTGTTTTCGTGAGATTCTAGTTCCACTAATCCCTATCGGGACTCGGATGTCCGAATAAGGTTCGGATTTCCGAGACCAATCTCCACGCGTACTGTAACATTGTAAGGTAGACACTCTGCCTAATCTCTTAGCGCCCTGTAGTGCAACCTGAGTTTCCTCTTACCACTGCAGCTTGTCAGCTTATCCGATCCCGTCTCGACCTGGAGGCGGCGAGGTACTTCTATGTTAGACTGATCCAGGTTTCATTTTTTTCTTCTGACTCGCCAAAGTTCTCTGATACGCAACTTTCTTGTTCTCCATCTCGCTCACAATCTGGCACCCATCTCGTCAAAATGGGGTTCACCGATCTGCTATCGGATGCCGGTCTCACTGGTATGTACTCCAACTGTGTGTGGTTGGCTTGCGAGTCCCGTCATCCAGCCTTACTCGAATGCAGTTCTCAACGACTGGTTGAGCACTCGCTCTTACATCACCAGGTGAGTTTGTTACAGCTTGGTCTCTTCGAGGTGCCCCTATCGGCACATTTCCGTCTCCCAGGATTGAGCGTGCACTCCGTGCTTCTCCTCGGACTTCAGACACACACGCTCAGCATGTTACCCAATTGGTGGACATTTCTTGTCAGCCTTGAGTCCCTCAGTCGAAGCCATACCAACTTACTCGCCACATCGACAGCTATTCGCCCTCTCAGGCCGATGTCGCCGTCTTCAAGGCCTTGAGCGCCTCCCCTGAGGCCGCCAAGTATCCTCACGCAGCGCGCTGGTACAAGCACATCGCTAGCTACGATGCCGACTTCGCCACCCTTCCTGGTGACGCGGGTAAGTCGTACACGGTCTACGGTCCCGACGTCAGCGTCGCCACTTTGAATCCTGCCAAGGCTGCGGCTGCCGCGGAGGACGACGACGATGTCGACCTGTTCGGCAGCGATGATGACGAGGAGGAGGATGCCGAGGCCGCCCGCGTCCGCGAGGAGCGCCTAGCTGAGTACCGCAAGAAGAAGGAGTCCAAACCCAAGCCTGCCGCCAAGTCGGTGGTCATATTGGACGTCAAACCCTGGGGTACGTTGTAACCCGACATACATTCTCCAGGTTGACCTTTCTCCCACTGATTACCGCGTCGCAGATGATGAGACCGACATGGCTGCTCTCGAGTTCGCCGTGCGCGGCATCGAGAAGGACGGTCTGGTATGGGGCTCTTCCAAGTTGATGCCCGTTGGCTTCGACATCAAGAAGCTGCAGATCAGCCTCGTGATCGAGGATGAGAAGATCAGCCTGTCCGAACTTGAGGAGGAGATCCAGGAATTCGATGACTATGTCCAGTCCACGGATGTTGTCACCATGCAGAAGCTGTAACTCTGCTGCTGATGAGCCTTTCGAGGCTTCTATGATAGAAATGCGAATAAGCCTTACGCATCCCATAATAAGCCTTTGACTTCACATCCCATGAATTAAAAATGGTGATCAGCATGAAATTACACAGATGTCGATTGCATGTTTTTCCCGCAAAGCCATCAAACACTCGATATCTTATCGTACATAACTCGTCCCTTGCCGCAACTTCGCATCTCGGTAGTTAGTTCTCCCGCTCCTCCGTCGAGGATTTTGTTAGGTGAGGTTACACATACTTGCGAGGTCGTCGCAGCAAATGCGAGGAGCGAGCCTATGATTGTGGAGGTCGTTCTCAGCTGCACATCGGAAATCCGATCCCCCACAAACTGCTTTCCGAATCGGGCAACCGGGCTGTCCCCGAGTATCGGACCCTGCATCATGCTTACGGAACTCCTTCATGGCAATTCTTAATTGCTTCTTGAATCCGATCGCTATATGCGGGGCTGTATGGCGTTGGTTGGCGGGGACTTACACACTTCTTCACCATCGTCACTGTCTCCTTCTGTCGTCCAACAGACGTCCCTCGATCAACCATATCGCAATTGCCACACCTCCCCAGTCGCCACTCAAGATAGCAGCACTGTTTTCGTCCGAAGCGCCCAATCATGTCGTCGACCAAGCAAAGGCGCATCGATGCGCTCCCACCCAAGGAGGACGCGCTGGAGATGGAGGTTCTCGTCCTCGGAATGCCCCGGACAGGAAGCATCTGTAAGCTCTCCCCGCCATCCCTTGGCAAAACTTCGATTTCTAACAATCGGCCCGCGAGCAGCCATGCGCCATGCCATGAGTAAGCTGGGCTACAAGGTCTTCCACGGGGGCGTTCTGGAGGCGGATCCCCAGAGATTCCCGTACTGGGAGGAAGCGCTCGTGGGGAAATACTTCGGCGGGAAGCCCTTTGGACGGCCCGAATTTGAAAAAGTGCTCGGCGAGTTCAACGCCTCAGTCAACTTCCCTGCGACTATGTGGGCCGAGGAACTGCTCGAGGCATATCCCAATGCGAAGGTGATTCTCACGACGAGAGACGTGGACAAGTGGCTGTTCTCGATGAAGCAATCCGTCGACGCAAGCTTCATCTGGTTCGCGATGACGTTCAACTGGCTCGCGCCGTTCGATCCCATCTGGGGACCGTGGTGGCGGTTTCACAAGCTGGGGCACAAGATCAGGCCGATTCAGGCGCCGAGGGGAGAGAGAATAGGGTTTTTGGAACACTATGAGTTGATGAAGGAGCTCGTGCCAAAAGAGAGGCTGTTGGAATACCGGGTTGGGGAGGGATGGGAGAGGCTTTGCACATTCCTTGATAAGCCGGTTCCCGCGGAGCCTTTTCCGCATGTCAACAATCTTGACTCGTTCCTCGCCGACAGGAACAAGCGGTGGTGGCATGCCTTCAATTGCATGCTGGTCCGCGTACTCCCGCCTACGGCTGTGGTTGTGGCGGCCGTTGCGGCTGCTTGGAAGTACCGCCCTATCCCGCTCAGCTTCTGAACAGGCCGGGTCTTATATTCGAGCCGCGACTTGTAATGTTCATTGAAACGCGGTTCGTATCGACAATATAATGTTTGGTTCAGCTTTCAGTACCTATTTGTGAAAACAGCTAGAATTATCCGTGCCTGTCAGCGTGTGCGATGGGTAGGGGCAGTCATGATCCACTGTCATTCCGCCTGGAATAATAGGTACCTAAGCAAGCCTGCAAGACATCTGAGCTCATCTCCTTGCTAGTTCCAGAACCTCGTGCCGCAGAGTCCAGCGAAACAGCTCCTAGGCGAACAATTCACAGCAGTATTGTGCGTGGTACCCGTGCCTCTTATAAACGGTGTTGACGAAGATTAGGTAGCCAGGCGGAAGATACAAATGTAGCTGTGCATTACCAGCATATCTAGACGATTATCCCAGTACGTACCCTGTATTAACTCATGAGAAAGAAGAGGAAGAAAGGAAGAAAGGAAGAGCGGGAGCAGTTACGGTGGTGGAGCCTCACCTCGCTTAACTACCATACTGACTATGCCTCCTCCCCTCCCCTCTCGCCAACCTGTCAAGTCTATCAGCGAAGAAATCCCCACTCTCCACACCACCCCTGTCACATAGGCCGCGGAAGGCGCTGTCCTCTTGCTCCCAGAGCGTCAACGGCGAGTCAAACTCTACAATCTGTCCCTGCTCAAGGACGCACACCCTGTCATACCCAACAATGGTCTTGAGCCGATGAGCAATGGTTAGCACGGTCCGCCCAGCGAAGACCTCCATGATGGCTCGTTGGATCCGAGCGTCTGTCTCGAGATCGACTGACGAGGTAGCCTCATCGCACAGGATGATGCGGTTGTTGCGGAGGAGCGCTCGTGCTATGCTAATCAGCTGCCGCTGGCCCTGTGAGAAGTTGGTACCGTGCTCCTCGACAGGGCTGTCGAGAGTGACGCGCCCGGCAGCGAGATTGTCGGCGTCTTTGTCACCGAGGCCGACCCGGCGCAGCACGTCCCAAAGCTCGGGGTCTCCGTATTGGTTGAAGGGGTCGAGGTTCGACCGGACGGTGCCACGGAAGAGGTTGGGGTCTTGCTGGACGATGGAGATGCGGGACCGGAGGTCATGAAGCGGCACTTGGGCGATGTTTATGCCGTCGATGGAGATGGACCCAGCTGAGAGCTCGACCAGCCGGAAGAGTGCAGTCGATATTGATGACTTGCCTGCACCAGTCCTCCCAACAATCGCGATTTTCTCGCCCCCGTGAATACTCATATTCAGGCCGTGCAGTACGAGTGGTAGTCCTGGCCGGTAACGCAGCTGCACGTTGATCATGTTTATCTTGCCCTTTGTTGGCCAGGTCTCTGGGACAGGCAAGATGCCTGGTGCCTGTGGTGATGACTCCTGAGGCAGTTCGGTCCCATATTCATGAAGCCGCTCTGTCGAGATCATGGCATTCTCGACCTCGGACATCTGGCGTGCGACGAGCTGCATCACCTGGGTGATGGCCAAGGAGTACGAGAGCACCAAGCCTGATTCGCTTGGGTGCACTGTGAACCGGAGCAGCACGACGATGAGCCCAACCGTCATCACCGCCAGTATGGCAACACAGTCGAGACGACAGGTCACCCACCGCTGGTTGCTTAAGGTTAACAGGTAAGCCGAGTCCATGTCGTCGATGGCATCGTGCACCGTCTTTCTTGCCTGGTCCTGTACTCCATATGCCCGAATCGTCGGGATGCCCGTGATGGACTCGCTGAAGCGGGCAAACATGACGCCCCGGAGCGTGGCTTCATAGCGCTTGAGCTGTATTGCCGACGCCCGGTAGTATGCCATAGCATAAAGAAAGATGCCAATCAGCACTGGCACCGCGACCAGGAACCAGTGGACAAAGATGCCGAGCATGACCACGATGCTGGTGACAATAGCAATGGAGTACATGAACGTGCGGACTGAGTCCGGGAGCTGGTTGTCCATCACCTCAACATCTCGCGACAAGCGATTGAGAATACGGCCTCGCGGTTGCGTATCGTGGAAGGATAAAGGGGCCTGAACCACACGGGCGGTGGCGTGATCGACCATCTTCCGGGTGGCTCGTCCGGAGAGAACAGAGACCGATGCGCCAAAGGAAAAGAGCAATATGGCCTGGAGGAACCCGATGACGACGTAAAGTGCGATGTACGTGTTCTCGGCGAGGTTTAAGCGGTTCGAAGACCAGAACGCGACCCAGATACTCGTCAGGGCATTTGAGCTCTGGGCCAAAATGAGGAACAAGATAGGAGCGATGCCATAGATGAGGCTTCCGGATGATCGCAGGTATGTCTTGATCATGGTCCAGGACAAGCTACCCACGGCCCTTTCCTCATCTTGTACGAGTGACCCGGGACTCAGAGCTGAAGGCTTGATTGAATCGCGAACTGGTAGTTCTTTCGGCGCTTGAGTTTCATCCGAGTTCTCGTCCTGCTGGGCCCGTGCCACCAAGTCTCGGAACTCGGGCTCCGTGGCCAATAGATCGGCGTAGGTCCCGAGAAGCTTGATCCGTCCATCCTCAAGCCACAGAACCCTGTCGCAACGGCTGAGAACGTGCAGTTGGTGTGTCGAGAGAATCCTCGTCTTGTGCCTGAGCATATCGCATATCGCATGCTTGAAGATGTGCTTCCCGACATGCGCATCGACCGCAGACAACGGGTCGTCCATGAGAATGATGTCGCTGTCCGAGTAGATCGCCCGCGCGAGGTTGACGCGCTGTTGTTGTCCGCCGCTCAAGTTGACACCACGCTCCCCAATCTCCGTCTGTTCGCCCGCTGGGAGGGCGTCGATGTCGATCCCGAGACTGCAAGCCTGGATGGCCTGTTCGTACATCATGGGATCCAACGGCTGCCCAAAGATGACGTTTGCCTTCAATGTGGCGTGCTGGATCCACGCTCGCTGGGGGCAATATGCTCTCGAAGATGCGCCGAGAGTGAGATGGCCGTCTATCTTGCGCATCTCACCGGCGAGAGCAGAGAGCAGCGACGATTTGCCGGAGCCGACGGAGCCCACAACGGCGAGAAGCTCGCCCCGCTTGATGGAGAGGTTGATGTTGTCGAGCGAGAAAGGCCTGGTCTGCTTCTCCGGATCTGCATACGCGTTGGGCGACTTTTCCCACACAAAGCTTGCATCCTCAAGGCTGATCGCCTCATCTGCTGTCTCGTCCCATCTGATCTCCTCCTTGTACTCCTCGGCCATGAAAAAGTCCTGCAGTCGTCCCACGGCGGTCCATGCATCTGCCAGCTGCCCGATGACGAGGGGGAGCATGTTGAATGGAACTCTCAGCGCCGTGAAGAGAGCTAAGGATGAGAACACGGGTGCTACCGCCAGTCTGTGACCTGTTTTGGAGTATACGATGAAGGATAGCATCGCTCCGAAGATGGGGAGCGCGATGGACACGGAATTGAGGGCATTGCGCATGGCGTTCAGCTTGGTAACCCCTATGACTTCCTCGCCGCGCAGACGCGCAAGTTTGTTCAGAAACGGTTCTTCACAAGCGTTATACTTGATGAAGCGCACCGATCCGAGCACTTCGTGCGTGAGCGAGATTCGGGCGTCAGTGACAGGGTTGATGGTTTTCCGGCGCGCAAGGAGGGACTTGAGGCCGAAAGTAAGCCCGGCGATTCCGAAGAAGAGCAGACCGAAGCCAGCAACTGCGGAATATGTGATGTTGACCAGGAGAAGTGCGAATGACAGGAGAATCTGGAGCGGGGCGGACCAAAGAAAGTGAAACATGCCCGCTGCCATGTCAACGCGTCCGGCGTCTGCCGACATCAATGTTGTGATGCGCCCGGCGGAGTAGCCTTCCGAATCTTCCTCGCTTGACGTCTTCATCTTCTTTTTTTTCTTCCTCTGTTTCGTAGTGGTGTCTGTCTCTGAGCATGAGGCAGCCAAAAGTCTGGGTCCCCCAATACGTGCCCTTTCCGATAGTTTCAAGCTTTTATCGAAGAGAGTGGCGACAAGTACAGCTCTTGCCTGAGCACCAACCATGAAGCCAGCGTAGATGAACTGATTTGTGCCGACGCTTTGGATGATCTGCATCCCCACGATGCCAAAGACCAGCCCCAGCCCAACTCCCACCGACTGGCCAGATCCATTGTACGCCTCTTCCACAAAGGCGAGGAGGAAGCGCAGGACAAAAGGAATCAGGGTTTGACAGATACACGCCACAAAAAGCCAGCTGCCGCCAATCCAGAACTCGCGCTTGAAGGTGTCGTGCAGGGCAGCCGCCAGAGGGTGTTTGCTCTTCTGCCTTACGCGCTCTCGGAAGGCGCCGTCGAAACGCATCTTGAGAATCTTGATGCTTCTTTCGGGGTTGACGAGCCAGAGGTCTGTCTTCTCCAGGGGTCTTCGATATCCGGCCGCGATGATGGGGGTCATCCAGCCGAAAGTCAGGCGGCCGAACAGGCTGGTCTGGTATTCCGGACATTGTGTGCGATGGTGTGGAACTTCCGGGACTGGTCCTCGTTGCAAAGGGTCGATGGGCTGGTACCAGGGCCGTTTGCCCGCACGAGGGTCTGAGGCGCCGTTGTCCATCGTGTCGTGCAATTCAGCCGTACAAAGACAGCATCATCGTCGATAGCTGCTTGAAGATTGTTAGTCGCCATTCCATTGTCTGTGCTGAGATTGTCAGCCGCAGGGAACGTCTCTCCTGCAGTGTTCGGAAAACCGAACTAGTGGACCAGCGTCCAGCAAGCTTACAGTGCCTCACACTGGGCAGTCCGCAGCAGTCGTCCCTGCGGCCAGGGAATCGCTGCACGTATTTTAGCCGGCGAAATCGGGGCTTGCTCTCGCCGACACTCCGTGGTTGCCTGTGGCCGAGTCTCAAGTAAGCGAGGAAAGCATCCAATTGATTTTATGCGGGATATCCTCTACTGCCTTATAGCTCTTAGTCCTAAGCGGTTACCCGGTCTAAGAAAAACATAGCATACTAAAATAGCCCCGTATATTAATATATATTAACTTCCTCCTTATAATATACTTATAATATTTTATTAACCTTATTATAATATATTAAAAAAGGCTAGATTATAAGGGGCTTTTAATTATTTATATATTAAAGAGATTTTGTTTTAAACTTTTCTCTTTTTTTTAAGTCCCTTTATATTATAAAAAACTATAAGGTTAGGGTTATATAACCTCCCTAGGATTTCCCTAGGGAAATCTTAGGGATTTCTCTTATTAAATAAGATAGGGATTTCTTAGGGATTTCTTAGGGATTTCTTTAAAAGTTTTTAAGAGAAATTTATTAAAATTCCTTAAGAAAATAAAAATTAAGAAAAAAAGTAATCCCTAAGAAAGCCTAGGGATTCCCTGTAATATTCCTTAATATAATCCTTATAAAAGACTTTTATTTCCTTAAAATAAAAAATATAAATCTTTAATTAAATATATCTTTTTTTTAAAAACTTATAGCCTATAAATATAGCCTATTATTTAATAAGATTCCTTATATAAAGCCTATAAGTCTCCCTAAGGCTAGCTCTTTATATTAAATAATAATAATTTTTTAAGTTATTTTTTATAAATAAATATTAAAATTAATAATTATTATAAAATAATTACTTATAGCTTATAATTATTATATATATATAAAACCTTTTAATAAAAATAACCTTTAATAACTTAAGGAATTTAAATATTTATAATAAGTAGAAATAATTTATATATAATATCTTTTTAATTATAAATTATTTATTAATAATACTTAGAGGAAATATTAATAGCTATTTAAAAATAATAAAAATAAAATTATCCCTAATACTTAAAAATAAATATTAATATATATAAATAATATATTTATCTCTTAAATTAATAATAAATATATAATTAATCTCTTAGATTATTAATAAAAATAAAAATAAAAATAAATAAAAGCTTAATTACCTTAAGAATTATATTATTTATTAATTCTAAGATAATTTCTTATTTTCTTTTTATTATTATTAAGCTAGGTTAAAAGCTTATTATAATCTTTAGACTCTTTTATTATTTTCTCTTCTTATATATAAGATAAGGGCTTTTAAGACTTTAATATTATAGCTTAAATATCTAGCCTTTCTTTAACTAAGTTATATTACCCCTTAGACTAAGATCTATTAGCTTTACCCTAAGTATTATTAATCTTAAAATTAAATTAATATTAATAAGGCTTAATAAGATTATTATTATTATAATCTCTATTATTAATAAGGGAACCTTAGAGCTATATAAAAGCCCTATAAAATATTATCCCTACAGACCTTAATATATATAAAAATAAGCTATTTAATCTATATAGCTAAGTAATAACTAAGGTAAATACTAAGGGTAAGGCTATTATAAGAGCTATTATTAAAGAGGAAAATAAATTAAGTTATTTTTATATTTAAGCCTTAAGTAGCTATAAATAACCTAAGTATTTATTATTATTAATTATCTAAGTCTTAAACCTTAAATTATAATAATTAATAGCCTTAGCTAACCCTAAGCGAGGAAAAATAATATCTTTAGCCCTAAAGTAAATATAATAATTAATATTATTAAGCCTAAGAGCCTAAGGGTTAAACTAAGAGCTAAGAGATAGGCTATATATACCCCGAGATATATTATAATAAGATATTATTTAACTCTTTAATAGAGCTATAAATAAATTAGATATATACCTAGAGGTATTTATAACTAAGTAAAGTATTTAATTTTAAGCTAATAATATTAATAGGTTTAAACCTATAAGAGCCTATAATAAGATATTTAATAATATTAAAAAGAATAGCTAATTTATAACTTAGTATAATATTATATAGTTTATAGATATATTAAATAGATATATTAATAAAGGACTAAAATATAAATAAGTATTAATACCTAATATCTTAAACCTCTTTTTAAGAGATACTTTAAAATAATACTTAAGAGATCTATCCCTTATAATATAATAAATTCTCTAGATAATAAGCCTAGGGTATTAAATAATAATATTAATAAAATACTTCTATCTATAACTTAAGGCCACTATTTATATATTTTAAAATAAATATTTTATAATTAATAATATAAAAAGCTAAAAAGACTTTTAAAGCTAAATTATATACCTTAAGAGAAAAGATATAAAGGTAAGCCTCTTACTTAAAGGAATACTTATATATATATACTTAATACTTAATAATTTCCTTAAAGAAGAATTATTATAGCCCTTATTAAATAATAAACTTAATATATAAATCTATAATTATAAATAATATATCCTTAATATATTTATTAAACATATTATTAGGGACTAAAGAACTAAGTTATCTAAGTTATAATAATATATATTAAACTTAATATTAAAAATAGCTAAGAATTAATAATATTATAATATAAGCTTTTAACTTATTACTAAGATAATTTAATAAGGGAATAATATTATATTATAATAACCTTAGT